TGTGTAATCTCCTAAACTGTGTTCCATGAATTACGATTTAATGGCTATTACCAGGTGTTACAGGGAAGAAGTTCTTTTTAGCCAGACTTGTGAGAGCCTTTAATGTGTTAAGGAACACTCTGATTTCTGGTCCTCCAAGAGGAGGACCTCTTACTTTACTACAGACAACCCTCTTCCAGCCAATTCTTTGTGTTTTACAGAGCATTTCAAGGGTTTAGTGTTTCACAAAACACGTTTTGGGAAACGTCACCCTGATGTCACTTCTCCCCTGCATCTCTCGGCATCCACTCTACACTCACCTACTTTCAAGTAGCATTATTTGAAGGTAATAGGTCTACAATGATCCTGTTGATTAGTATTGATACTATTGTTGACAGTTATTAAGGATATTTACTTATTTAAAATTAATCCAAACTAATTAACAAGACATTAAAGTGTTTCTATGTTTTCTCCCCAGAAGTGGAGAAAAATGAGAGGGAAAATAGTGCGTCCTTTTCTCCATGAAGACATTGATAGTGTAGTGCGTCCGGTTGAACTAGTACTGTGAACCNTCCTTTTCTCCATGAAGACATTGATAGTGTAGTGCGTCCGGTTGAACTAGTACTGTGAACCATTGCGAGATCTGCTAAGCAGCTCCTATCTGGCCTCAAGAAATGAGAGTCAAATGGGTTTGTCAGTTCTGTTTTGCAGGAAAAAAAATGGCACAAAACTCTTCAAAAGAAGATCCAGAATAATAATAATTGATCAGTAGGAAAGACATTTCCTCTAGGGGTTAAGAAGGAAGCCATTGAAACAATAATAGCCACCATTTTTGCATGCTTACTAGGAGTGCTTTGTCTCATTTTATTCTGACAGCTCTCTAGGGAGATAATTGCTAATGTCTCCATTCACCTCTTATGGAAGAGTAAGTTGAGGTGCAGTGGGACCAGGAAATTCACCCACATTCACACAGCCAAGAAGTGGCAGCCCTGGTGTTGGACCCAGGCTGGCTTGTGTAAAGGCCACACAAGCCACACGTAGGCCCCTGGCAAGAGGCAGCTGTGCCCCTGGCCTGCAGCGTCCCTCTCTCAAGGTGGAGCATGTGTGCTCGGAGCTCTGGATGGAAACTGTGCTGGAAGTCCCGGATGGCGAGGGTACTGGCTTGAGCCAGAGAGAGGGACAGGGCTCTGGGAATATCCTGGAGATCCAGAGGAAGATCCCATTCTCTTACAGTGGGGAGAATTTTCTTCATCTCTAGACAGACCATATTTATTAGGAATCAAGGTGACTTGAAATAATAGGCAGGAATGAATGGATAACTGATCCACTGTCAAGTCACTGGACAGTTCTCTCTAATGAGCAAATCCCTCGGACAGTTAAAAGTTTTTTTTTCCTTTTGCATCACCCAGACAAAAGTCACTATTTAAAAACAATGAACAAAATCTTGGGAGTGGGGAAGAAGCAGCAGAAATCTTCAGTATCAATAGATTTTCAAACTATAAGAGCATCAGATATGATATTCCATCAGACATAGAATGTTTTTCAACCATACTAAAAAAGGAATTTTTTTCTATAGTTTTCATGAGCTGGGATATGAATCACGGTTTCTCAGTCCTGAGGCTGCAATTTCATGCCTCTAAGAATGTGTAAGAATAGATGTGACGCAGCTGCTGTGATTGTAACTTTGGGGCCTGATTATTCACGAAATACTT